GTCCCCTTCAAGCTGGTGTCCACCTTCAAGAATTACTACTCGCTGGTGCTGGACAGCGCCCTGGACCGCGAGAGCGTGTCGGACTATAAATTGGTGGTGACAGCGCGGGACGGCGGCTCGCCCTCGCTGTCGGCCACCGCCAGCCTGTCCGTGGAAGTGGCCGACGTGAACGACAACGCGCCGACCTTCGCGCAGCCCGAGTACACGGTGTTCGTGAAGGAGAACAACCCGCCCGGCTGCCACATCTTCACGGTGTGGGCGCGGGACGTGGACGCGCAGGAGAACGCGCGGGTGTCCTACTCGCTGGTGGAGCGGCGGGTGGGCGAGCGCGCGCTGTCGAGCTACGTGTCTGTGCACGCGGAGAGCGGCAAGGTGTACGCGCTGCAGCCTCTGGACCACGAGGAGCTGGAGCTGCTGCAGTTCCAGGTGAGCGCGCGCGACGCGGGCGTGCCGCCTCTGGGCAGCAACGTGACGCTGCAGGTGTTCGTGCTGGACCAGAACGACAACGCGCCCGCGCTGCTGCCTTCGTGGGCGGGCGGCGGCGGCGGCAGGGAGAGCGAGGTTGTGGTGTCGCGGTCTGTGGACGCGGGCCACGTGGTGGCGAAGGTGCGCGCGGTGGACGCGGACTCTGGGTACAACGCGTGGCTGTCTTACGAGCTGCAGCCGGCGGCGGGTGCTGAGCGCAGCCCGTTCCGCGTGGGGCTGTACACGGGCGAGATCAGCACGACGCGCGCCCTGGACGAGGCGGACGCGCCGCGCCAGCGCCTGCTGGTGCTGGTGAAGGACCACGGCGAGCCGGCGCTGGCGGCCACGGCCACCGTGCTGCTGTCGCTGGCGGACGGCGGCCAGGTGCCGAAGTCCTCGTTACGTGCGTCTTCCGGTGCTGCGGTCGCCGAGACGGCGCTGGTGGACGTGAACGTGTACCTGATCGTGGCGATCTGCGCGGTGTCCAGCCTGCTGGTGCTCACGCTGCTGCTGTACACGGCGCTGCGGTGCTCGGCGCCGCCCAGCGAGGGCGCGTGCGGGCCGGGGAAGCGCGTGCTGCTGTGCTCGAGCGCGGTGGGGAGCTGGTCGTACTCGCAGCAGAGGCGGCAGAGGGTGTGCTCTGGGGAGGGGCCGCCCAAGGCGGACCTCATGGCCTTCAGCCCCAGCCTGCCACCCTGTCCGGTGCCAGTGGTGGAGGCGGAAGAACAGTCTGTTGGAGGGGACCACTCTAAAAAGGTGGGTGTTACTATAATTTTAATATTTTGCTTTGTGAAAAATATTTTATTTCACTACTTTCCCCCCTCACCTACATGTCTTGGAATATCTTCATCCTCTATAGATATGTCTATAATATCTTAATATATATCTACTAATATCTATTGTAACACAATTAATTTTAAAAATTCATATTATATTTGTCTATTGTACTCTGTGCATCAACTTTTGCTTGATACTTCTATTTTTAAAAAATATTTATCCTGAATTATTTATGTTTTGATTCAAATAGTTAATCCTGGTTGTAGGTTTTTTCATTCACCATTATCTTTTTAATGTTATAAATATTTTCAGAATTAGTACTTTAATTCACACGTTTACTTACTTTTCAAATCTAAATTTTTAAATGACCCTGTTATAGTAAGAAAACGATCTGATCAATTCTCTTCCTGATAAAAACGTGCTTTTTGCTCCCTAAGTATATGTGTATTGTAACATAACTTACAATGCATAATAGAAATTTAATATTCAATATTTATATTTTATTCTTAATAGTATAGCAAATGTTCGAATCTGTGAAATTAAGTTGTGTTTTGAGCTTTAAGCATATTTTTCATTTTATTTCAATATGGTGGTACCTCTGTTAGTGTGTCTTAGTCACTTATTGTAGCAGCAGCAGAAGTTTCATAGTTATTTATGAATTTTTATCCAGTGCTTTATCTTCTAGTCATTTATTCGAAAGAGGCATTGCTTATGATATTAAGGTATTATTAGCTCTTCCACTTCGAGGAAGGAGTCGTGATTACAATTACTAATGAAGAGCATTTGAAAACCGCTTTTAATTATAGAAGGCTGAAAATGATTCCTTTAGATTAGATTCCTAATCTAAATTAATGCCAGAAGTTTGAAGAAAAAAATAAAATTACTTTTTAGGATGTTTTCTACTGCACTGATGTCATACAGTGCAATTTAGTTTGGAAACTTTTCTTGTCATCTTAACAGGGTTGTGTTGGATAATGTAGATTCAGAAATGCAAGACAATTAAATTTCATGGTGGCCAGCATTACCCTATTAATTATGCCTTCTTGCAACTGATTCTTACCCAATATCTATAATTTAATTAAAAACTTTTTACTAACTTCAGTGTTGCCAAATAGCAATGCAAGTCCTTCATTATCTTGACTCTGGTTTTTAGCAATTCCTTTTTTCTTACTGTATGCAGACTGACTTTTTACTCTATGTGCTTCACAAATAGCTTCGAATAAAACTTGACATCTCTATTCAAATTTAGGAACACCAAAAAAGGCTCGTGTCAAGTTCTTTTTAAGTTGTGTCAAGAATTTAAGCATGGCAGCGCCTCCAGTGTTAACACTTTCCATGGCCAGCCTCTGGCTCTTAGAAATTGTAGATGGCAAGTTACGCAGAGTGTTTCGTCTTGTGTGCAGAATTCCTCCCTCTTGTATCTGCCCTCCCTTTCAGACCTTTGTAATGTCAGTGTGCCCCTCTGCAGAAAAGACTCATCTAAAGATAACTCTTGATGTGAGCTGTAAATGAAACATAAAATTATGTGTTTTCTGATATCATCCTATGTGTTTACTTTGCCTTCTTTGGTCACCTTTCTTTGAAAAATACAAGTATTGACAAAAATATTAGCATAACAAGTTAGGATTTTATCCAGCAGCACAGCAATCCTAAAGCTTATGAAAAAGAAAGTGTAGAAAGGAGAGGAAATGATGAGATAGTTCAGAACAAGATATTGAGAGACAGCAGAGATAAATTTTTCTGATTTTAGTTTGACAGTGTGTTTCTCTGGCTCTGTTAGTAGAGAGAAATATTCTTTAAAGTTTTGTGAATAGACTCTTTTATTCAATGCACAATGATTAAATGTTCAGAATAAAAACAGACATTTTCTCAAATCAAGGATTGCTTTTAACATTCTTGCTGAAAAGAAATTAGTCCATTTCTTTTAAAACTATAGCATCTTGTTTTTATAATCATGTTTAATTTGCTCTTTATTAAATATTAAAATGAGGCTAATCACAGAGCACTCTTAAGCTCTGGTGATACAGTATTTTTGATAGTCTGTTTCCATATGAGCAGCCAACCCTTAGCTTCATGGACATACTATAGTTATTTAGCTATATGAAAGCCTTGGAACTTGGAAGCTTTAAAAGTATCTTTAATATACACTTAATCAATGGAGTAGCGCTCTAAACCAAAAAAAAAAAAAAAAAAAAAAATGGAATGGTTCTGCAGCATGGACTCATTCCCAAGAGACTAAATTATTTCGATGAGCAATGATATTTATTTCTTAGCCATGCTTTTTAAAAAAATTTAGTCTTTTTCAAGTGCTAAAATTTTTCTTGCTCTTCTTTAGGCAAATATGTTGGTCTTCAATTGATGGCTTTCACAATAAAAAAAGAATTAGAAGTAGTTTGAATTATAAATCTTTGGCATAGACTGAATCAGCAGTTTTAAAAGCATATAAAATAAAGAGTGTATTTTTACATATAACCTTAGATTCCCTTGGGTATCCACTTACAGTTCTTTTTAATAGAAAAATTTGGGATCTGCCCAATGGCTGCCATCTTAGTAGAAGGACTTCAGATATTGGATAATTGGTTCCTCTACAGCCTTGAGAATGATTAAAACATTTTTATTTTTAAAAAGACAAAACTGATATACTTTATTGCAATTGAACAGTCATGAAAACCTCAATGAGTTTTTTGTATTTAAGATGAAAACAGTAAAATAATATTGAGCGAATGAGATTTAGAATAGCCTTTATACCATAGTCTCTTTAAGCCAATTCTGGAATAAAATGGATATAAACAGACAAATGTAACAAATATGTAAATATTTAGTGGTGTGGGATTTTTAAATTATTAGAAATAGCAATGAATGTAATTCAAATTTAAGTTGTCCTTCAGGATGGCAACAACAATGTTCACCCAGAGGAAATACAAGAATGGGAAAAAAAAAAGCTTTAAAATGAGACAAAGATAAGTATACTTTGTATTTCCAGAAACCAGTACTTGGTAAATTCATTAGCCTTGGATGAACTGATAAATAGCTTATATATCAGCAATGATTTAAAATACCATTCTGTTAAAGAGGTAACTTAGAGAATTTGCGTCTTGAATTATCTTCTACACTACTGGCCTAAATGTCTAGAATAATTTAACATATTAAAAGGATTAAGCAATAGAAAATTTAGAATGTTAGCAATGGAGTAAACTTAGTAAGAAACCATACCAAAAAATGATCAATTTCTAAAAGTCTGAAAAAACATCACTGGCAACCTACAACATAGTTTTCATCTTCATATACATGATAATATGGTTGTGCGGAAGTACATTTCCTTAGATGTCTATATGCAAGGTAAAACTCGTCTTGGAATTCTAATTTATAAGAGAAGACCACCTTTAGAGAGCTAGTGGCCACACACAAGGAGTACATAAAGAATTAAATGCCACGGAGAAAAAACATGGACCAATATGAAGAAATTACAGAAGCAGCAATATAAGTGAAAGAAATACTCCCATAAACGCAAACGTGCTTCCATTTTGAGCCACAGGATGTCGTTGTTCTCCAAGGAGAGAAGTGTTTTAACAAAGAAAATTAACGATTATACCCAGGACCAGAAAGATTCCCCACCGTTTCGTAGCTTTAAAGACTATATACACCCCCATGTCATTAAGATCACCTTGGATCTCAGGAATAAAGACTCAAGAAAGATCTCAAAAGGACTACATCGTTCTACTCCTGACTGTTAATTTACTAACCAGAATCAAAGCGTGATGTTAGCTTCAGGATCAGGTGACCAGGGAGCACGGTTTCTGCTGCTCTCGCTTCTGGTCCTCGCTCTTCTGGACACCGGGAGCGCCCAGGTCCACTACTCGGTCCCCGAGGAGGCCAAACACGGCACCTTCGTGGGCCGCATCGCGCAGGACCTGGGGCTGGAGCTGGCCGAGCTGGTGCCGCGCCTGTTCCGGGTGGCGTCCAAAGGCCGCGGGGACCTCCTGGAGGTAAATCTGCAGAATGGCATTTTGTTTGTGAATTCGCGGATCGACCGCGAGGAGCTGTGCGGGCGGAGCGCGGAGTGCAGCATCCACCTGGAGGTGGTGGTGGAGCGGCCGCTGCAGGTTTTCCACGTGGAGGTGGAGGTGAAGGACATTAACGACAACCCGCCTGTGTTCCCAGCGACACAAAAAAATCTGTTTATTTCCGAAAGTAGGACTCTTGACTCTCATTTTTCACTAGAGGGCGCGTCTGATGCTGATATCGGGGTCAACGCTCTGCTGACTTACAGACTGAGCTCCAGTGAGTATTTCTCTTTGGAAGTACCGACCAGCGACGACCAGGTAAAACCACTTCAACTGGTACTAAAAAAACCTTTGGACAGGGAAGTAGCTTCGGAGTTTCTCTTGGTGCTTAAAGCAACAGATGGGGGCAAACCTGAGCTGACAGGTACTGTAGAGTTACAGATCACAGTGCTGGATGTAAATGACAATGCGCCAGTGTTTGACAAAGCAGTCTATCGTGTAAAATTACTGGAAAATGCAAGGAATGGTACATTGGTTATTAGACTTAACGCCTCGGATTTGGATGAGGGTTCAAATAGCCATATTCTTTATTCCTTTGCAACTGATGTCACCTCAGATACAGGAGCATCTTTTTGCATAGATTCAGCCAGTGGAGAAATAAAAGTAAATGGCAGAATAGATTTTGAAGAAACTAAATTATGGAAGCTTCAAATAGAAGCAGTTGATAAAGGAAGTCCCCCAATGTTTGGTCACTGCACAGTCTTGATAGAAGTTTTGGACATCAATGATAATACTCCGGAGTTGCTAGTGACTTCACTATCACTTTCTGTCCCTGAGGATGCTCCACTGGGGACCGTCATTGCCCTAATCAGTGTAACCGACCGTGACGCCGGTGACAATGGCAAAGTAACCTGCTCTCTAACACCCCACGTCCCCTTCAAGCTGGTGTCCACCTTCAAGAATTACTACTCGCTGGTGCTGGACAGCGCCCTGGACCGCGAGAGCGTGTCGGACTATAAATTGGTGGTGACAGCGCGGGACGGCGGCTCGCCCTCGCTGTCGGCCACCGCCAGCCTGTCCGTGGAGGTGGCCGACGTGAACGACAACGCGCCGACCTTCGCGCAGCCCGAGTACACGGTGTTCGTGAAGGAGAACAACCCGCCCGGCTGCCACATCTTCACGGTGTGGGCGCGGGACGTGGACGCGCAGGAGAACGCGCGGGTGTCCTACTCGCTGGTGGAGCGGCGGGTGGGCGAGCGCGCGCTGTCGAGCTACGTGTCTGTGCACGCGGAGAGCGGCAAGGTGTACGCGCTGCAGCCTCTGGACCACGAGGAGCTGGAGCTGCTGCAGTTCCAGGTGAGCGCGCGCGACGCGGGCGTGCCGCCTCTGGGCAGCAACGTGACGCTGCAGGTGTTCGTGCTGGACCAGAACGACAACGCGCCCGCGCTGCTGCCTTCGTGGGCGGGCGGCGGCGGCGGCAGGGAGAGCGAGGTGGTGGTGTCGCGGTCTGTGGACGCGGGCCACGTGGTGGCGAAGGTGCGCGCGGTGGACGCGGACTCTGGGTACAACGCGTGGCTGTCTTACGAGCTGCAGCCGGCGGCGGGTGCTGAGCGCAGCCCGTTCCGCGTGGGGCTGTACACGGGCGAGATCAGCACGACGCGCGCCCTGGACGAGGCGGACGCGCCGCGCCAGCGCCTGCTGGTGCTGGTGAAGGACCACGGCGAGCCGGCGCTGGCGGCCACGGCCACCGTGCTGCTGTCGCTGGCGGACGGCGGCCAGGTGCCGAAGTCCTCGTTACGTGCGTCTTCCGGTGCTGCGGTCGCCGAGACGGCGCTGGTGGACGTGAACGTGTACCTGATCGTGGCGATCTGCGCGGTGTCCAGCCTGCTGGTGCTCACGCTGCTGCTGTACACGGCGCTGCGGTGCTCGGCGCCGCCCAGCGAGGGCGCGTGCGGGCCGGGGAAGCGCGTGCTGCTGTGCTCGAGCGCAGTGGGGAGCTGGTCGTACTCGCAGCAGAGGCGGCAGAGGGTGTGCTCTGGAGAGGGGCCGCCCAGGGCAGACCTCATGGCTTTCAGCCCTAGTGTTCCTCCTGGTTCGAGTTCCGGAGATAGTGGAGAACAACAGATTTGCGGTAATGTAAGTACAGTAATTGTGGAAAGTATTTCATGCCTATTAATATCAATCACATAGTAGTTCACCAACATATTACTGTAAAATTTTATTGCTTTATTTATTTCTTTTGGTCTTTTTTTCCCAATGGCTTATTTTAAAGCACATTGGAAGTCCAGCCATTTTTAAAATTACTTTTCACAACTGCCTTTGTGAACACACCAGGAACGGTTGTGGGTAGAAATAATAATAGTAGTAATAGCAGTAATGAAATAGATGGCTAAAGCCTCCTCTAAATGTGCAAGTTTAAATCAGGAAGGAGACAAGAACCACTGATGAGAACTGGAGCATGTGGACAAGGCTTAAATAGTTTACTTCTGAATTCTGCTGCAAGGCCATTCTTCCTATTCATTTTCTTAGTCCAAGCGAGGTCCTTCATTCATTATGTTCATGCATTCAAAGTTATTATAATAATGCATAACTTTATAATTTAGTTAATTTAAGCTCAAACAGTTAAATTCTTCTTGTAATGCATTGTTTACTTCTTACTAATGGGCATGGGCTGGTGGCCTCATTTTATAAACATTTTGTTTCTTTATAATCAATAGCATGTGTCTTTGAGATAGTGGGTAGAGTTCTCCTTGGCTTCAGGGATGATTTTCCTTCTTTTTGTCTTTATCCCTGAATAATTTCAAGTTCATTTTCTTCATAGTCTTCAGTTGCTTTAGATATATATTTTTCTTTATTTCCTAATATAAGCTCGATTTCGCTAATTGCCTGTTGAACCCATTGCTATTCTCCTCCAGATTAATTTATTGATCTCCTCTATTGTATTTGGAAGATTCTTCTGAGCACTAATTATACTTATATTTCTTCCATTTATAGTACCTGCCATGAGGCTGAGCGGAAATATTTTAGGGTAGGAAAATTTATAGTTCTTTGTGCTTTGAGCTGAAGAGCATCTTCCCATGTATGGGGAAGTGTGATACTGCTTCCTGTGTTCATGAAGCCACTTGATCTTCAAAATAACATTGCTTTAAATAACTTAAACATAACAATGGTGGAACTTCCACTGGACACCTCCACTTGGCACGTGCACTTGACAATGGTGTCGTTGATTGCATTTCAGCATTTAACATGGAATACTTTAGATACCTTTCATGCAAACACTTCTTTTTTTGCCACAAAGCTATATTCATGTGAATTTTCTTTAAAAAGATCACAGAGAACTTTTATTTAGAGTCATAAGGGTGTGAATCAAATAATGTGGAAGGTTTTTGGTTGTTCTTTTTGGGCTCCAGTATACAAATTAGAGATCCTTTAATTGGATTGTGTGGAGAAATAAGTTACAGGTGACAGTTTACATGTGGCAGGGGAACCATGTTATAGTAGATAGGATTAACTTAATAGAATTGCTGAGAAGGCATTAGTGGTCATTTTCTGCGTAAAAAGTTAGGATGATTTACATGAAGATGAACATTAGCAGATCTTCAGAAAAGCAAAAGCCATACTCTAGTTATTGTACTGGAATTGCCTTTATGCTCATCTATAGAACAGAGTAAGAGCAAACATTAGCCACTAACTGTAATAAACCATCACGATTCGAACCATTTGTATTTGTTAGACATGGTGTGAATATGAAGGGCTTAAAATACATAATTTCATTTAATTCTTATAACAATGTGTAAATTGCACGTGACTATCCAAATTTTAAAGATGGTATAAGAGCTGGTGAGATACCTGTCTTATGTACTGCCATCAGCTAGTATATGATAGAAATGATATTCAAATGTATATCTTTGAGATTCCAGACCCATTCTTTTATCACTTTAGAGCTTTCTGCAGGAAATCTTTTCTCTGATCAGGTGTAGTTCTGGCTAGGAAAATCAAGCACAGCTGTATACAAATGGATCCTCTCCTGTGTTTTGCTTAGAAGACAAAACCATCATGATTATCTTCATTATTAATTCTGTACAGTGCCATAGGAATTAAGATGCTATGTTGTTAAGTGATTTTTTTTCCTCAGAAGAGTTCATGATTATCATTATCAGTTGTGTTAATCAATGCCATGTTGAGATAAGTATTTACATTATTCAATTGGTAAATAATTAAGAGTTGTCTTATAAGGACTGTGGATTAGTTGCTTGGAAGTCATATGAATAATAAGAATCATTTAATGTATGAGAAAAATCAGAAGACTGTGGTCTGCAATGTTCTTGCAGAATACCAAACCCAAATGACAGACACAAAAATGACATTGTCATTTTAACACTATGAATAAGGATGATATTTTGGATGAATATAAGTGGTACTATGATTATTTCTAGAATCCAGAACATCAACAAAGGATTCAAAAAATGTTTCCAAAATTGCATATTCTTTGAATGTGTGTAGGTCTTTCAGGATTTGGTCTTCTTCAGTCTTCTTGTTGTATCAGAGATTTGTGCCAACTAAAGAAATAATCTGTGCTCTAATAACTGTATATACTTGAATAAGCCATGATAGGGCAGAGTGAACATCACTAAGTATAGCCTATAATTTTGTTAATACAATGTTGAATAGTATCTCTAACTTACTGATTTTTGAAGAACCTCCTCGTTTTCCAAGAGTGATATCAAGGTTTATTTCTTTGTTTTATGTTTTCAATTAGTAATAGTACTAAACCTCTTATGAAATATTAGTGGATGATGAGGACTAGTAGAACATTAAACTATGCACTCTACTACATGACTAGCAGGGCACCCAGTTGGAACTTAAGACTAACTTGATTTAGTAAAGGTCGGGCACAAAGTTCCTCAGTCTTTTCCATTGATTTAATAAAATCAATTTATTCATTATATTGATGTGGCTTCTTGGCATTAGCCTATTGTCAGATCTCAGGCCCATCCCCAAAGATGAGTTCAAAGATCACGTAACATTGGATACTTGAGATACATTTGATGCAAACACTCTTTTTTTTTTTGTCACAAAGCTATTTTCATGTGAATTTTCTTAGAATCTCTTCTAAGAGGTCTAGTTGAAATGGTGAGAGCTGAAATATCACAGTCAAAATGCAAAAGATGAGTCATTAGTTTATACAATATATAAAACTTTTATGATTTGGTGTCTGTCCAATGTCACTTCATATACTCACAAAATACCACCTTACTGGACAGCGATTCTTTTTTATAAAATATTTTTATTTATTTATTTTTAGAGAGAGGGGAAAGGAGAGAGAGGGAGAGAAACATTAGTGGGTGAGAGAAACAGATCAGTTGCCTCTCATACCTCCAACCCCAGACCTGGCGTGCAATCCAGGTGTGTGGTCCACCCTGAAATAGAACTGACAACATTTTGGTTGGCAGGCCAATGCCCAACCCACTAAGCTACACCAGTTGGGGCTGGAAAGTAATTCTTAAATTAACATCTATCTTTAATTCAGACATGTAATATCATTGTTACCCTTCAATAAACTTTCATATGTCCATCTCTCTATCTACTTTTGATGATTCCACATTGCATTTCATATCTCAATCCCTAATCATCATAGTGAAGTGATTGAAGGTTTATTGTTTCCTTTTTCTACAAAATAGATCTGGCAGGCAGGTTTTAAATATCATGGTAAATCTACTGTTATCTTGACGAATGTTATATTTTGATTAGAGGCCCGTATAACTGATTCTTTTACAGATGTATAACACAATTAAATGCCATAAAAGACGGTGAGTCTGCTTTATTAGTTTTTTCAAGAATTTGCATTTACTTTAATAAGAGTTCTAGCAGAATGATAATATCAAGAAAAGAGTAAATTTGAAAAAAGTGGAACAAGATCCAAAATTGGAAATAGATTACATGGTGGGGCAAAAGTAGGTTTACAGTGATAAATACATGAAATATAGAGTTTATTCTTATATTATTAATTAATTATTGCATTATTTTCTTCATACAAACTACTGTAAACCTACTTTTGCCCCACCTATATTTATACACATGTGTATATTCAAGGAAAAGAAAAAATAGTAACATATAAATAAGTGTGCTAGTAATTTTTCATATGTCATTGCAATATTTTTAGATTGGAGATAAACCATCAAAACTACACAACAAAATGCTCAAGCTAGAGTGATATATTCTGAATCACTTTCTCTTCTGCTTCCATTGTGTCCTCTTCCCCCATTAAGTTCCCAGGCTATATGAAAACACAAAGGACATGTAAGCAAATTACAACTTCAGGCAATGAAAATTCAACAGTTTGCATATTCTACTTGTTATTTCACAAAATTGAATTTCCGCAGACACTAAAGTCATTTGTCATTTGGTCAGATGGTTTGATTATATTTTTAGTGCACTATTGGGCACAAAAAGGGGATATTATTAGAAATCATTTCCCATGTTTTGGATAAACCTAAAATTCTTTCAACAAAAAACAGGTCAGCTATTTTCACCAACATATTTTCAGTAGACATACAAAAGCCAATGTATGTGTCTTGGAAATACCAATATGGCATAGATATTTTCATGGTGATTTTTATTTCATTGAATGAAAATGAGATTCATTCCGTAGTTGAAAGATGACTTCTGTCCTACCATTAACACTATCACATAAATTGTCATTTTGGTACCTCATTATACTGTTTGAAAAGTAATTTACATGAGAATATAAAATTTACCTGAAATATAAATTTAACCTACATCAGTAAACTTTTCCCTTGTGAATTCTATGTTTTAAACTATAAAATTTGAAAATATTTTTGTTTTTCTTATTGTTTTTCAATGGATATGAAAGTGTTTACAATAAGATTACAATTACATGTAAATAATAAAGATTCAGAACTAAGGAAAATATGAGTAGAAGGTAAGTGCACAATATGCAGAACTTAAAGGCTAAATAGTTGTTATAAAAACTTCAATTTTGCCTTAGAGTTTCCTAGCAGCCAAAGTAACAAGGGAGACTAGAAGTAAAACAATTCAAATTTTTATATGAGGAACATATCTTTAATAAGTGTTTAACCATAATTTTTCATAAAGTTACTCTTAGAATTGATCTCTCCATATGTAGACAAGTAAAAGAATAATTTTATAACTAAATCAAACATAGGAAC